ACAGTATTCTTCTTGTAAAAAATGAAATTTTGGAAACTTGCGAGGAATTTTCATTTTTATTGTTCTATAAGGCTTGAGAAGGCACAGGAAGAAAACAGAAATGTTGCCGTAGAAAAGCAAAATCTAGAGCGTAAAATGATGGATGAAATTAATTATGCAAAGGAGGAGGCTTGCCGGCTGAGAGAGCTACGGGAGGGGGCTGAATGTGAACTGAGCAGACGCCAGTATGCAGAGCAGGAGTTGGAACAGGTATTTATGTTAAAGAAAATTATTCATTAGGATATTTGTATTGCCATTCTGAGGAGCCAGGTCCTGTTTTTGTATAGTCTCCTGCATTTAATTTCGTTGTATACCGTTCCTCAGTTAATAAAAGAATCATTTGTTTATATTGTTAACATTGATCAAAGTCCATATAACTAAATAATAAAGTAGTAACTTAAAGATAAAATTATTGTCATGTTCACTCATTCATGAAATCTTATCTCATGCCATGTTCATTGCCTTGAGTAAATTTAGGATGTTTATTTAACATCTATAATATGTTTGAGTTTCTGACTGTAACCTAATAAAATAAAGTATCTTTAATTTTGAAATCCTCTGTAAGGTAAAACGATCTCTACTAAACATCCATTTGAATCCTATTAAATGGTTTTAGAACATAATTGCTAAAAATTCTGAAGCTATCTAAAAGATGTCCTTTCTTCTGTTCAGTTACTCAAGATAGAATGTAGGCATTACACAGAGTCCTTTGGAGAAAGTGAGGTTCTAGGAGAATTTAATTATAGGCAGATGCATCCATTTCCTATTCTTGCTGTAAAAAATTTACTAAAAAAAATAAACTTAGTGGCCTAAATAAACACAAATTTATTATCCTAAAGTTCTGGAGGTCACAGTGAGTCTGCAGTGGGTCCTCGGGGCTATGTTCCTTCTGCGGGCTGTCGGGGGGCGAGGGGGACCTCTTTTCTTGCCTTCTTCACTTTCAGAGGCCACTGACATTTCTTGGCCCATGGCCCCT